ATAAAATGCATTTTTTTCATTTAGAATGCTATAACTATGGGTCTGTTTGAGAAAAAAAAATGTCTAGGCATATTTTTGTAGAGCATTAAATTCTAAAATTCTCTCCGGCCATATATAAGAATGATTTTTACCAACACATCGACTTCAGCGCCATCTAGCGATTACATTTATTTTAAATATGATTTTTCATCCCCTGTGGCCAATTTAAGGTTTAGATTTCAGCTAAATTGCACTATAAATACGATTTCAAAAGTATTTCGAGTCAAACGCCAACTAGTGGATCGACAAGTAGCCGTAGCCTATGTTAAGACCAAGAGTTTTGGAAAAAAACCGTCAAATACGGTGAGTAGTTTTTGAGGCAAATTGAGTATCATTTAATGGATTGAAATTAACTTGACTGGTGGCAGCATTATTAGAAAATGTTTCTCAACGTACGTTGATTAACTACAAAACCTGTTGTCTTAAACGGGTATCAATATTTTTAGTTTGCAGTTCTCAAGAAACCAATGCTCGCATACGGAGCGTTTCACGTCAAGGGGCTATCCGTTGGTCCTATGTGTTATTCCAAAATTTTTCCATTTTCACGGTGATAATTCAAAAAGAAAATTTATTTTTATTTTTTCTCAATGACGGCCATTTCAAATAGTGAGGTTGTTCACGCTTGCATGTTTTTCAGCTTATGTGGTTATGTTTTTTATTCAATTTACAACAATAAAATACACTACATAATAATTATTTTTAGCCAGATAACTTGATAACCAGGCAATCGTCAAAAACCTCAACCCCCCGAGAGACGAGCGTTGTTAAGATAGTGGTCATTATAACGAAGAAGGGCATCTTTTTTCCCATATGTATTTATTTCTTCTGCTGGAAACTAAGCTTTAGATATCTAGGTCGTTTTAATTTGGGTCTATACCTCAGGAACCGATCTAGCTACAAAGAGAGTGAAAGCAAGGCTGAATATGGAGATGAAGACGAAACCGAAGGTGAATTTCTTGCAATTGAAAAAACACGCAACATCACCATCTTCCTTCGCACTTTCATACAAGTGCCTTTGATTGCTACCGCACTGTTTTTCGCCTTCAACTTCAGCTTGGTCAGCATCTTCTGGATCGCATCAACCCTGTTTGCAACTTTAAGCAGGGATCACACGATTTGTACATTTGTACAGATTTGCACATTTTGACAGTTACAGAGTGGGGTTTTTTTTTATTGAGCTGAACTCATTCGCGATGCAACTTTCCAGACAACACCACTCTTTGACTGCCAAAATGTACGAATCTGTACAAATCGTGTGATCCCTGCTTTACAGCTTTAAGTCATCTCCGAATGGCAGTTGACCTTTCATCTGTTTAAGTACATAGCTTTGCTTGAAGAAAAGGCGATGAAACATATTACATAATAGCATCTAAAACAATGACATTGTCACAGCTACAAATCGTATAAAATGCGATGCAACATTGTTTTGTTAATAGATACATCTAAAATTAACACACACTTTAAATTACATTCTCGTGTTTAGTGGCAAAAATAAGATTATTGTACTAATTACTACAAAGTATTGTCGTTTGATGGATATACGTAAGTTTATACATATGTAGGTACATATACCCCATATTAACATAGTATGAACATACACAAACATACATGTGTATATTCAATATAAAATGATCCAATATTTATTTTTAAATCCTCAAACTAGCAACTGTCTACCATAATTAATACATACCATGAAGAATTTGTCTTAAATTTAAGCAATTTGCCTACAAATTAAGAGCAAAATTAGAGCAAGAGATCATCTTCCGCATATTTAGATTGCACAAATGCCCTGGGTACGAGTACGAGTATCTAAAATAATATTTGTTGTCATTTTGCCACAACTTTGTTATAATTTCTATCAAGAGTGTTTTTTACCTGTTGTCGAATTTTTCAAACTTTCGTGTAGTAGAAATTCTACACTTAAGCGCAATTCCCCATGTCTCCTTAAGCGATTTAATCCATTCAAACGCTACAGGGGTACGTGGCGTATGAGTGATCTGCCACTCTGAGTAAGGTGCTGTTAAATATGTGTACTTATATATATCTACTAGCTGAATGTACGCGTATGCCATTAATTATGTCTATATATTCATATGTTGGTATACATGTACATACATATGTATGTAGGTATCTATGTAGGTTCGTACTTATAATTATTTCTGCATCATTTTGTGTATTGCCACTGTGTGTCGTTTATCTTTTTGATGTTCTTACGCTTTGTACGCTTTACAAGAGTTGAGCCGTGTCGCCTCGCATTTGTATCGCATCGTTTCGTATCGCATGACATATCTACGACATGAAATGCTTTACACTTGCTGCCAGCAAAACACACTTCCATCTAAGTACGCCTGTATGTATAATATACATTGCATACATAGGTATGTACGTATGTATAATTGCATAGGTGCAGCTATTTATACAGACAGGCAGGCGATGATGCAGCAGCATTGGTGACAGCAGGTGAATGACAGATTTTATCAACGAAATTTCGTTAATGTATTTAATTTTTTTTTTTTGCAAAAATGGATGTAATTTTTATATGTACATACATATGTACATATACATATATGTACATACATTCTCATATGTAATGTATGAATAAACGATTTGTTTATGTCAATAAATTTGGTGGACTCAGAATTTTTATGAAGTGGAATTTTAATAATTATTTGCATTCAGGCGGCAAACGAATTCTATGAAATTCTATTGAATTGAACTGTAAATTGGCCCTGATCGTAGATACCGATTAATGACCTAAATTTTAAATAGAAAAAATATATAAATTAAAATATTAAAAAACAAACTTAAATAAATTAAAATGATATAAATATAGTTTCAGTTTATTTTATTTTTTTAATATTTTATTTCATAAAAAATAATAATTTACAAAATAAAATAAAAAATAAATAAAATAAAATAGAAATGAAATTAAATTATATAGATTAAATAGAAATGAAATGAAACAAATTAAATAAAAAATGATTGCTAGACAAAATAAGTTAAAAAGATCAAAAGAAAATTAATAAACATAATATTTAACAGAAAAAACTAAAAATAATCACTGAATAAAAAAAATAAGTTAAATTAAAAATAAATATAAGTAAAATAAAATTAAATTATATGAATAAAATAGAAATGAAATAAAATTAAATAGATATTGAATAAAAAAATTTTACTACAAAAAATTAGGTAAATAGATCAGGAAAAAATTGATGAAAAAAAATATTTAATAGAAAAAAATTTTAAATAAACATTAAATAAAAAATAAGCAGAATTAAAAATAAATATAATAAAATTTAATTACTTTAATTTAGATACACCTTTTGATGGTTTTGTTTTTATTTTTTAATATTTGAAATATGTAAACTTTTTTCAATACTAAAAAATTTCGAACACTATTAGGAACATTTCAAACGCTTAGTAAAAGAAAATAAAAGCATTAAGCATAAATTTTTATGTTTTTTTGTTTAGAAAAAATAATACAAAATGAATAACGAGAGTTAAATAACTTTAGGCTAAATAAAAATTTCAAAAAATAATATAAAATGAAATACGTAAAAGTAGTTGAATCTAAATAAAAGTTTCGAATACGAAAGAAACAGAAAAAACTTAAAAAACTTCAACTTCTATTGAAGGTTGAAAATAAACGCATTTTATCGGATTTTTTTAATTATTTTAAAAAATTCAAAAATTTCCATGTTTTTTTTTCAAGCAAGAAGTAAATAAAATGTGTTACGTAGGATAAAATAAATTTAAGCTAAATAAACCTTTAAAAAAATAATATAAAATGAAATATGTAAAATAAAAGTAATTTAATCTAAATAAAAATTTCGAAAATGATAAAAACAGAAGAAAACATAAGTTCTTTCAGGTCTATAAACATATAAGTAATAAATATATGAAAAATATTTTTTTTTATTAAAAAAAATAAAATAATATGCATAATGTTAATCTAAACAATTTTTTGTTTAGTTTTGTTTAGTTTTTGATAATCTCACTCATTATTTGGCACATTAAAAAAACAAGGAAACAAATCTATACAAATTTTCCATAAATTTCTTAAGAAATCTTATTTTCAACTTTTTATTTCAAATCGGTTCGAATAAGCCTGCGAAAATTTGTGTTTTGAATAAAAAAAATTCTTTTAAATAACATACATACAAACAAATAAAATCATAAAAATGTATTCAGAGTGGCACAAGCAAACTGGATTCAAAGGATAAGAGAAGAAGTTTTCACCAAAAAAATAATAAGGGTCTAACATCACAGACTGCCGATAAACGTAAAAAAATTATAAATTCCATACAAATCATGACGTTATATGTAGGAATACCACTAATAAGAATTTAATTTTTAGTTTTATTTTTTAAATAAAGATCAAAAGTAAAATATGTATAGTTTTTGGGACAAAAATATGTTAAGCTAGAAAAAATATTAAAAAACATTCATAGCAGAGGTAGCCAGCAAAGATTTAAAGTTTAAATTTTAAACGATAGCAGGTAAACTTTAGCGCTTAGACAATTTTTTTTTCTCAGGATATTTCTGTGGAGAATCTTTTAGTTAATTTTTTTTTATTTAATAACCAATTTTTCATTTCTCGATTCCAAAACAACTATTGAAATTTTCGTGAGACTTGATTATAGCACAATTGAAAAAAAAAAATCGATTTTAAATTCCTCATTTGTTTTTTTAGATCAGTGGTCGGCGGGCCATAGCTCACTGAGTGCTCTCTGGGCACATGTGTTTTTCACACGTATACGAAGAGCGGCAGCTGTATCAGAGCTATTTACTTCAATGATACCACGGTTCCATCACAGGTTATCTTTCAAATGCTCTGCTGGTCGCCTTAATTTTCAAGAGAATCTCTGATCCTCATGCCTTTGAAATGCTGAGACCAGATACTTTTCTCTTTTAACAATTCTTTAAAAATCTCTGGTGACGAACTTTCGTTATATCTACGAATGGATAATGGATGGAAATGGATTGCAGAGCGCATCACAACACCATTGCGAGTGAATCTCAATAAATCGCAACATAAACAAGCGAATATAAATAAGCAACCAAATATAGGTATATGTATGTAGTATATGTACTTACATTAGACTGCGCCACCTTACAAGCAAGCAAAAAAAGTTCACCGCAATTTTAAAGTATTTTCGAAAAAACGAATTTTTTTAGCCGAATCTAAGTGTCGCCTTTTTACACTTTCCGATGACACCTACATACATACAAACGTTCGGCAATAAGACTTAACTTATACTGGAATAAACGAAATATGTACTTCATGCGCAAAACTTTAATGATTTCTGGTGAGCTTTAATTTACTGGCATTAGGGAAGTACGTTAGGGTGATAACGAGATCTGGTTGGTAAGAAACTGCCTCACAAAACCACTTCAGATTCGTAGGTGTTCGCCGAAGTAGTTTTTTCTGGTACACTCTAATGCGCACATGTATGCGCAATTGTGCTGGTAATCGATCATCACAGCGAAATTCTACGCTACTTATTGCCACATTTCCAATATGAACTTTAGAAGTTTATACGAATTTATCGAAGAATGTAATTAGCACGATGGCTAGCTAGCATAGCTAAATAAAAAATTCATATGAAAATTTAAAATTTATAAGGAATTTTCTTATGCACATAAATATTTATATATTTACATACATAAATATGCATCTGCATGCACGCATTAAATAAACTCTATCACATACAAATATACTACACGCATACTGCAATGACGTTTTTCGCTGCGCTGTGGCGGCTGGCGGCAGTCTTCAGTCGTGGCACTGGGCGGCGCGGTTCAGATTCTATTTTCATGTGAAATTGAAATGAATAAACCGAAACGTGAAATGAAAATGTGGAAAGAAATACTTTCCGTTGGTATTTTCATTACAGATACACAAGAAACTGAAAACAGATCCAAGAATATCTCAAATCACCAAACAAGCAACAACAACCATAATAAAAAAAGTGTAAGCACAACAAAAATATTAAATGGCGGAACTATCGATATACTAGATATTTGTATGTTTTTGTGCGTATATACGAGGGATGTTTCGAATGTCAGATTTTTCACATTCTCGGAGGCGAATGCGTATATTCGGAATGCGAATGCGAATGATAGGAATAGCATTAAAAAAGCTATAATCAACTTAGTCAACGTTTTTATTACTTAAACCTATACAATGTTTTAATCTAGTAGTCAAAGGGGTCAAAAGGGGCATATTGTATTTCAAAAAAGTAATTTTTCTGCCTTTTCTCCCATGAGGCTCGTATACATACATATAAGGCCGACTGCACAATTGCTCACTTGGAACGCTAGCGGCTGGAACGCTCAAATATGTGCGGGCCAGATCTGTCAATTTGTCATATTTTAGTGCAGTTTTCCACCAATCGAGCGGATTTTCACCGAGATGAACTCGTTTTTCTTTAAGATAGGCCTTGAATTAAGCTTTAATTTCATATTTTTTAATGACTCTAGCTTCTGAGCCTTTGCTTTCGCTGGAGGAATATAAAATTATTTCTAGTTTGCTTATAAGACTTTTAGCAGTACTTGTTGAAGGCCCATCAATGTTGCTTAACCGTTTAGCGCCTGAAGCTAAAAGACGGCTATTGTCCGCTCCCTGGTTAGACAGACTTAGAGCCATTTCAACAATATTAGAGTGGACTCTCTGCCCATGTAAACATTCGTAACATTTGATGCGAATGCGAATGTCGAATGCCAATGTATAAAATGATGCGAATCATTCGCATAACGAATGCGAATGCAAATATTCGTAGCATCCCTGGTATGTACATACAATACCGATACATATGTATATTTGTGTGTTTGAAATTTGTAATCGTAAGGGGAAACCAGCGCAGAAAATGTGTTGCAGTATGTGTATGTATGCATTTATTTATACAACGTGTTAAAATGTATGCATAATTTATACCGCACAACAATACCGATGAGTACCGCCAAAAGTTTATCTGAGTTGTTTATGCTGAAAAGAAATTTTATACACAAAAAGTTTGTATGTTATGTAAATACATTGTATGTTATATAATATTCAATATGTAAAAATATACGAAAAACTAAAAAAAAAAACAATTTAAAAAGCTAAAAAGCAAAAAAATATATATATAAAATTAAGATAAGATAATAATTATAAAAAAAAAATGAAAAAAATTTACAATCATAAATAAATTAAAATAGAATAGGATATAAAATAAATATACAGATGTATTTATGTACTATATATTTATGCACATATGTATATATTTATGCACATATGTATATATCTATACATATGTATCTATAAAAATCCAACGCAGTGAATGTTGCGCTGAAGTCCAGTTATTTATAAAGGTCGTATTTATGAACCGATTTTGTTAAAATTCTGATGAAAAATACGTTTGCAAAAAATGGACTATCTAGGTGGCGCTGGAATCGAGGTATTTAGAAAACCTGTATTTATGATCCGATCAGTTTCAAATTCATAATGTAAACTACATGCATGATACAAGATACTTTCGCAAAAAATGGTGGCGATAGCTGGCGCTAAAGTCGAGGCATTTCAAAATCCTATATTTGTGGTCTGCTTTTGCTCTGTTCTTAACCGACTTCCAAAAAAGGAGGAGGTTATCAGTTCGTCGGAATATTTTTTTATTTTATTTTTATTTTTTATGCATGTTACCGCATAACTTTGGACCACGTCTACCGAGTTCGATAATTCTTTTTTGCATCGGAAAGGTAGTGTCTCAGAGGTGGTCCCATACTAATCTGGTTAAGATCCGATCAGTGGATCATGAAATATATATATATATATTTTTTATATGAGAGTTGAAGTCGGTTTTTGGTTTTTGCATCAAATTACTTGTTATGTTATACGAACTTACTTTTTAGATGGCTAAATTAAGGTTGCGGGTAAATATCTTCTAAGGGAGACAGGCAGCCCTCAAAGCTTTACACTCACATATAGACAATAACATAGACAGTTCCCCTACTCAATTCCCTACATCTCTGATCGAGAAAGCCAAGATTTATAGGAACTAATTAATATACATATACATATACATACATATATAGGAATTTAAAAAGTGACGAATTAGCAAGGAAAGATTTAATAGCATCCTTCCATGAAAGACCACGAGATGTCTGTGCATATATCCCCATTTGAACGATATTTAAGAGACCACACGGCACAGTTAGCCAGTGAACGCACTGAGAAAAAATCAATCAAAAATTGGTTAATATTACCAAATTCAAACTTGAAAAAGAATCAAGGTGATTTTTGGCTAATATTAGCTATGCCTTTGTTATTTTCAACAATGATTTTGTAATACATATTTACTTTTGTTTATATTAACCAAGCTTTCGGTTGTCAATTTTTCCGTTTGAATACGCTTATGTTCTGCACTTCACAGATGCTTTTTCATAATTCGTAGATACAAAATCAAAATTTTTTATTATAAATTTAACTCGTTTACACTGACGGGATTTGAACCCGCATCTTCTGAAAGTTAGCAAGTAACAGTAAGCATCCATGCATACTCAGCTACAGCCGCTTTATAAATGTGTCTTCAAATGTTCAACTTTAATGAATTTTCTTCGCCGTTTGATTTGGTTCTGCGCTTTACGGACGCTTTTTCGTAATTAAGAAAAACCGAAAACAGGAAAAAAATAAAAAAAATTATGTTATGCCACTGACGGCATTCGTATTCGAAACTGTTGGAAGCCAACAAATAACAACAAGCTCTACTGCACGTTCAGCTACAGCCAGACATACGAATTTGTTCAACTTGAATAACATTTCTTACAATCGGTGTATTTACAATGAAAAAAAACCATAACTTGGCTGAAAAAACCCTTTGTACTTTTGGCTCAGTGCGGGCATAATGCCGCGCAGCCTTGTGTTTTGGCCTTCCGCGTCTGTCTGTGTGTCTGCGCCTTCCGGATCATGGACAGGTCCAGCTCCAGTTTAACCGCTAGTTTGGTAGCATGTAGGATTTGTTAAGATCGAGCTTCACGCAGATATTCACCGAGTACCGAGCACTCCCCATGCCCTCACGCCAGCCTCTATCTCAATAGTGGCTTTGAAGTTCGTCCCAAAGTACAAATTCAGGATCATATAGTCAATCCGTCCGAGTAAAGTGGACGCTATCGTACTTTGTCCGCAGGACCTGCACACAAAGCAGTAGCATAAGCCTGACAGCATTTTAGACGCTATATTCTTGGCCGAAAGGTCCGCCGGCAAAAGATGCAGTAAGGTGTAAGCGCCCTTGTCATGCCGATGGTTAATAGCCTATATGAGCAAATCTCACGAGTTGTTACATTTTTCGACAAAAACGTGTTTTTGGCCGAAAATGGAGACACACTTATCTTAGAAAATTCATTATCTTCAGTTTTCTATAAAGAATAAAATTCCAATGCGAAAATGTATTTAGTACATAAATGAAATTTTGAAAAAGATCTACTAAAAAAGTAAAAAACCACCACTCGTGCTCATATTTATACCCGTAGTTGCGTATGTAACGTATACGCCCCGTAGCACCGTAACCAAAAAGCCATATTATTTAAAAGTAATTAAATATTGGCATCGGAGATTTTTACGCAGTATTCCTTATGCACATATACATTACTTTCTTCATGTATTTACCAATTTTAGAATTAATTTCGAGTTGTCCAATAAAAATTGTAAATTTTAGTTTCTCAAATCAGTCACCTTTTACTCAATGTAATTTTTTATTTGGTGACACACTAGTTTTATTACACTATTTAGATTCGTTCGTTTTGGCAAGAGCATTTTCGCCATTTAATTTTAAAATTTTAAAGTATCTAAAATTAATAAAATTAAAAAATTTAAAAAATTGCTGCGAAAGATATTCATGCGATTGTAATTTTTTTGAGTGACAATGAAAAAATTAGTAATTTCGGTACTTTTTCGCCTAAATAAACGTTTTAAGGTTAAAATTAGTCAAATACTTGATTTATTTCTTATTGTACTTGTTTCGGGAACTCCATTGTTGAGACATATGCAAGAAAATATTATGTATAGCGTTTTTTTTTTTGCGAGAGAAATGACA